ACACTCTGCAAGATATTAACCAGGAGAACTTCCCCAACTTAGCAAGGCAGGCCAACATTCAAATTCAGGAAATACAGAGAACGCCACAAAGATACTCCTCGAGAAGAGCAACTCCAAGACACATAATTGCCAGATTCACCAAAGTTGAAATGAAGGAAAAAATGTTAAGGGCAGCCAGAGAGAAAGGTTGGGTTACCCACAAAGGGAAGCCCATCAGACTAACAGCAGATCTCTCAGCAGAAACTCTACAAGCCAGAAGAGAGTGGGGGGCCAATATTCAACATTCTTAAAGAAAAGAAGTTTCAACCCAGAATTTCATATCCAGCCAAATTAAGCTTCATAAGTGAAGGAGAAATAAAATCCTTTACAGACAAGCAAATGCTGAGAGATTTTGTCACCACCAGGCCTGCCCTACAAGAGCTCCTGAAGGAAGCACTAAATATGGAAAGGAACAACTGGTACCAGCCACTGCAAAAACATGCCAAATTGTAAAGACCATCGATGCTAGGAAGAAACTGCATCAACTAATGAGCAAAATAACCAGCTAACATCATAATGACAGGCTCAAATTCACACATAACAATATTAACCTTAAATGTAAATGGGCTAAATGCTCCAATTAAAAGACACAGACTGGCAAATTGGATAAAGAGTCAAGACCCATCAGTGTGCTGTATTCAGGAGACCCATCTTACATGCAGAGACACATAGGCTCAAAATAAAGGGATGGAGGAAGATCTACCAAGCAAATGGAAAACAAAAAACACAGGGGTTGTGATCCTAGTCTCTGATAAAACAGACTTTAAACCAACAAAGATCAAAAGAGACAAGGCCATTACATAATGGTAAGGGGATCAATTCAACAAGAAGAGCTAGCTATCCTAAATATATATGCATCTAATTACAGGAACACCCAGATCCATAAAGCGAGTCCTTAGAGACCTACAAAGAGACTTAGACTCCCACACAATAATAATGGGAGACTTTAACACACCACTGTCAACATTAGACAGATCGACAAGACAGAAAGTTAAAAAGGATATCTAGGAATTGAACTCAGCTCTGCACCAAGCAGACCTAATAGACATCTACAGAACTCTCCACCCCAAATCAACAGAATATACATTCTTCTCAGCACCACATCACACTTATTCCAAAATTGACCACATAGTTAGAAGTAAAGCACTCCTCAGCAAATGTACAAGAACAGAAATTATAACAAACTGTCTCTCAGACCACAGTGCAGTCAAACTAGAACTCAGGATTAAGAAACTCACTCAAAACCACTCAACTACATGGAAACTGAACAACCTGCTCCTGAATGACTACTGGGTACATAACGAAATGAAGGCAGAAATAAAAATGTTCTTTGAAACCAAGGAGAACAAAGACACAACATACTAGAATCTCTGGGACACATTTAAAGCAGTGTGTAGAGGGAAATTTATAGTACTAAATGCCCACAAGAGAAAGCAGGAAAGATCTAAAATTGACACCCTAACATCACAGTTAAAAGAACTAGAGAAGCAAGAGCAAACTCATTCAAAAGCTAGCAGAAGGCAAGAAATAACTAAGATCAGGGCAGAACTGAAGGAGATAGAGACACAAAAAACCCTTCAAAAAATCAATGAATCCAGGAGCTGGTTTTTTGAAAAGATCAAGTTCTCTAATTTTTTTGTGTGATATCTAATCTGCTGTTAATCACATCCAGTAAAATTTTCACTTTAAATATTATAGTTCTCACCTCCAGAAGTTCTATTTGGTTCTTTTTATATCTTCTATTTCTCTCACTGTATTCCTGTTTTTCTTTTAATGCTTGTACATCATTAAACTGGCTGTTATCCTTGTCTGTGAGTCGTCACTGGTCATTTCTGTGTGTTTCTATAAACTGATTATTCTCCCTGCCCTGGCCACATTTCTGTGCTTTTTGGCATTTCAGTAACTTCTGATTGGATGTTGGGTATTATAAAGATTATATTGTTGAGTGTCTGGATTTGGGGTGGTAGTTATTTGTGGATCAGTTTGATCCCTTTGAGGCCTATTTTTAAGCTTTCTTTGAGACAGGTCTTGTGTAGCTTTGGCTCTAGGAATACATCAGCCCTACTACTAAGGCCTCTGGATTCTCTACTGTGTGTCCCAGGTAATCACAGAGGACTCTATACTGGTTGGTCAGACCTTGAATGTCTCTCTACCTTTGTGTGTCCTGAGAATTGTTCAGCTTACAGCTTCCTGATCACCCTTTTCCTGGGCTTTTGGAGTTTCGCTCTATGCATGTATGGCCTAGTAGTCAGGAAAGACTCAAAGGGAAGCTTATACATATTTTTTGAAGCTCTTTTTACTGCATAACTAACTCCTTTCTGGAACTCTGCTCTGCAACTTCCAGCTGCCTCAGCTGCTCTGAATGCTGGTCTGTGTCTCCTCAACTTGGCAAAGCCACTAAGCTCTGTTTGGTTTTTGCCCACCCCAACACACAGTCTCAATCTGGAAATTGCCTCCAGGCAGACAGCTGAGGCAATGATAGGGCTCCCCTTATCTGTCTCTTTTCTCTTGGGGATCGTGATTCTGTACTTCCTGCTGTCCAGTGTCTGAAAACTTGTTTCACATATATTTTCTCCATTTTTTTCTACTTATTTATGGCAGGATGTGAAATCTGTTCCTTGTTACTCCATCGCAGCCAAACGTGGAAGTTTCTGTCCATTCTTTTTAATTAACATCTTTAATTTTATATAAGAGTCTTTCTGGAGTAGCTAGATTTTGTGGGTCTTGAGCCAGTGTAAAAAGCCTTCCTTTTTACTGAATTATGAATTAAATTGAACTGTCATCACAACAGGAACTGTGTAGCTGTTTCTTTGAACTCACTGATGTGAGAGGCCTGTGATGCATGGATATCGGTGGTAGGATCTTTCACATAATTTGCAATTTGGAAGGAGAAGAAAATCTGTAGAAATCATTCAGCTCTTTTGTTTAACAATTTAGTGTTTGAAGATCTTTTCTTTGAGGCTTATTTTTCCAGCTGTTTTGTTCCACTTCTCATTTGGTTGAATGCATTAGAGAACTGCTGTCATGTGTACCTGTCTCGCTGTCACCAGGCTCCTTGTGTCAGTGGGCTATGGCTTTTAAGGGCCTCACTGCTGGTCTAGAAGCCCCCATTCCTGCTGTCTTCCCTCCGGCATCCTGATCCAGTTTTTTTGTTGCCTCTACAAAGTTGGAAAGGGTCTCTCATTTCCTGGTTATTTCTTCTGATGATCTTGGTGTGCCTCCTTCCTGTGCAGCGTCAGCATAGACTTCTAGGCTTGCCAGTCTTCCTGCCCTTGGATCTCTGTCTAGGTCTGTCTTCACCTGGCTGTGCCTGGGCTGGCATCTGCTGGTCTTGTCTTGGCTCCCTCTGGCCTGCCTCTGTTCATTCTTTGCCAGGCCCGGTTCAAGGTGTGTTTTCTCACACATCTTCATGCCCTGGCTTGTCATTCAGCCAACATGTGAGAGAAGACTCAACAAGATCAGAAACCAAGGAAGAGGAAATCACCAGTCTCTTCACAGGGGATCCAGGGACAGGGCTGTCATCACTCATGGCCTTTTTCACTTTCTTTAGTTCCACCTAATCCCCAAGGTCTTACTCTCCCCAGGATGGAGCACCAGGAAACCAGGTCTTGGCAGTCCCTCTTGAGATGCCGGAGGCTGAGGTGAGCTGTGTTTCCCTCTGCCTTGCTTGGGATTCTCTCACCACTCCCTGAATCTGGCCTCAGCCTCTGTCTCTTGCCCCAGCATGACACACGGCAGAGTATGAACCCCAGCTGCTGCCTTCCTGCCCTCCCACTGCTTCTCTTCTAGAGGCTGCCAAGGATTGGATATCCACTGGGCTTGAAGTCCCAATCATCCAGGTGGGGAAGCTGAGTTTCCATCCAGGAAAGTGATTGAACGGAGGTCCCTTGGAAAGATGAGACGCCAGGGCCATGGCCCAGGGATCCTAGTGCTTGATCAGGTTCTCTTTTCAGGACTTCTTGGAGCTGTGGTTAGGCCTCCATGTTAACAACAGACACCCACTCCAGACCCTCGCCTCTTGTCCCTGGCATTACTGGCACTGCCCCTGCCTCATTCTAAAATAGATGGAAAGACTGATTAGCCCTGGGAATTCTTTCAGGATTTGGTGACATTTGACGATGTGGCATGGTACCTCACCACAGGGGAGTGGTTTAAGCTGGACCCTGAACAGAGGGTGCTGGCATATTATAGGAACGTGACCTCTGTGGGTAAGGATGTCCCAGCCCTTCCTCAAATTCACCACCTGCTTGGAGTGGGGCAGGGGGCACATGGCTACCCCCACAGAAGCTCACCTTCTCCCTGGATTGTGGGGAAACACAATGGGTCTGCCACATCTGATATGTCAGAGTAGTATGCGTTCCCCCAACTCCTCTTGGCATGGAAAGAACCCCTCTCAGTCTTTTATTGGGAAAGAAATTAGAACACTGCCACTGTAATGTAGAATACTCTTTTCATTTTAATGCACAAATTATGCAAATTGCATGACCATTTGGTTTGAGTTTATTTGTGAGAGAATGGTTGACGTGATCAAGATCTTGTTCACCCATTAGGGGTCTGCATGTGTGCAGTGGGGAGGAGGTTTTAGGAGGAGAGACTGTTGGGAGTCAGATTTGGGAGTTGTGGAAGTCCACATGTCTGGGAAGAGCATGAAGTTAAATGTGTGAGCACTGAGGGGGTGGACAGGCAGAAGGCAGGGTGAGGATCACCTCCTCAGGGTGGCCACTTGATCCTCCACAGAGCCTCCCCCAGGTGGGCCCAGAGCCTGCCTTCCTCAAGCTCCTGGAAGGAGCCTGACCTTGGGAAACACCTTTGAACTGAATGAATGACTTGCCTAAGGTTAAGGCCAGCCTGGTCTTTGAAGATGGAAGGGGGTTCCCCTTCAAAGGCCTTGCCTATGTTCCTCCACTATTCTCATGTCATCTTTGGCTGTCGCCGTAACCAATCTCCTTTCCCATGAGCAGGCGTTCCTGTTTTGAATCCTGCCTTGGTCCCTCACCTGGCACAAGGACAAGTGCTGTTGGTATCAGACCCATCGCCCAACACTGATCCAGCTAAGTACTCTGGTGAGTGAAAAAGAAATGTGAGGAAACTGGGGGAGGCCCAACTGAGCTGGGGTTTGGGTTAGGGTTGGAGGGCCCAGCCGAGCTGTTAGGCTTCAGGTTAGGGTTGGGGGTCCCAGCTGAGCTCTTGGGCTTGAGGTTAGGGTTTGGGGACCCTGCTGAGCTCTTGGGCTTGAGGTTAGGGTTGAAACAGATGAGCTCTCAGGGGTTTGGGTTAGGGTTGGGGAGCCCAGATGAGCTCCTGGGGTTGAAGTTAGGGTTGAGAAGATCAGCTGTCCTCTTGGAGGTTTTGAATTAGAGTTGAGGAGTTCCAACTGAGCTCTTGGGGTTCGGGTTAGGGTTGAGGGGCCCAGCTGAGCTCTTGGAGTTGAGATTAGGGTTAGGGGATCCAGCTGAACTTTTGAGGTTGAGGTTAGGAGTAGAGGGGCCCATTTGAGCTCCTGGGGTTGAGGTTAGGGTTGAGAGGATCAGCTTGGCTCTCTGGGCATTCGGGTTAAAGTTAGGATCCCAGCTGAGCTCTTGGGGTTGAGGTTAAGTTTGGGAACCCTGCTGAGTTCTTGGGGTTAAAGTTAGGGTTGGGGGGCCCACCTGAGCTCTTGACAGTGAGGTTAGGGTTGAGAGGATCAGCAGGGCCCTTTGGAGATTCAGGTTATATTTGGGGATCCCAGCTGAGCTCTTGGAGTTGAAGTTAGGGTTGGGGGTCCCAGCTGAGCTTTTGGAGTTCTAGTTAGGGTTTGGGGCCCCAGCTGAGCTCTTGACGGTGAGGTTAGGTTGAGGATCAGCAGGGCCCTTTGGAGATTCAGGTTATGTTTGGGGATCCCAGCTGAACTCCTGGGGTTGAGGTTAGGGTTGGGGGCCCAGCTGAGCTCTTGGGGTATAGGTTAGGTTTGAGAGGATTAACTGGGCTCTTGGGGTGCTTGGGTTAGGGTTAGGGGGCCCAGCTGAGCCTCTGGGGACGTGTGTGGCTGCTCTCCAGTCACAGAAGGGGTGACCTCCTCAGCACCACTGTGGTAGAGAGTGTCCAGAATGGAATGAGGCCCCTCTGCCCCTGGCTTCTGCAGTCCTTGCTTCTGGTGGCTTCCGGGCCCAGGCCCCATGCTCAGTGGCTGTCTCAGAAAGAAAAAGATTCTTGACAAAGGAGAGGCCCTTTCCTCCGTCCTCCTCTGCAGACTACACTGCCTTGTGTTTATCGTTTCAGAAAACACCTCTGCGACCCGACACCAGACGATGGGGGAAGACGCCCAGCCACAGGAGATGGCGTCCACAAGCTCCCCAAGGGCCAGTGGCCCCAGTCCTGAATTCAGACAGCATGGGGACTCTGACAGGAAGAGAGGGAGCCCACAGAATCTGCCCATAGAACATCATTTTGCTTGTAAAGAGTGTGGGGACACCTTTCGGCTTAAAGTCCTGCTTGTCCAGCACCAGAGAGTCCACAGTGAGGAGAAGGGCTGGGAATGTGGCGATTGCGGGAAGGTCTTCAGGGGGGTGGCGGAGTTTAATGAGCACAGGAAAAGCCATGTAGCTGCGGAACCCCGGCCCGGCCCCAGTAGGGCCCTGGAGAATGCCGCGGAGAAGAGGGAGCAGACGGAGAGGGAGGGAAAGCCCTTCGAGTGCGAGGAGTGTGGAAAACGGTTTAAGAAGAATGCAGGCCTCAGTCAACATCTGAGGGTCCACAGCAGAGAGAAGCCCTTTGATTGCGAGGAGTGCGGGCGGTCCTTCAAAGTCAACACCCACCTCTTCCGACATCAGAAACTTCACACTTCGGAAAAGCCTTTCGCCTGCAAGGCATGTAGCAGGGATTTCCTGGATCGCCAGGAGCTTCTCAAGCACCAGCGCATGCACACTGGCCACCTGCCCTTCGACTGCGACGACTGCGGCAAGTCCTTCCGAGGGGTCAACGGGCTGGCTGAGCACCAGCGCATCCACAGTGGGGCCAAGCCATACGGGTGTCCCCACTGTGGCAAGCTCTTCCGAAGGAGCTCGGAGCTCACCAAGCACCGGCGGATCCACACGGGTGAGAAGCCCTACGCCTGCGGCCAGTGCGGCAAGGCCTTCCGCCAGAGCTCCAGCCTCCTGGAGCACGCACGCATCCACAGTGGCGAGCGGCCCTACGCGTGTGGCGAGTGCGGCAAGGCCTTCCGCGGTCCCTCCGACCTCATCAAGCACCGGCGCATCCACAGCGGACTGAAACCCTATGAGTGCGACAAGTGCGGCAAGGCCTTCCGCCGGAGCTCCGGCCTCAGTCGCCACCGGCGGATCCACAGCGGGGCGCGGCGCTGTGAATGCAGCCAGTGTGGCCGTGTCTTCAAGAGGCGCTCGGCGCTACAGAAGCATCAGCCGACCCACCACGAGTAGAAATGCCCTGCGGTCCCGCGGGACAGGGACGGAATCCCCAGAGGGGATGGCAGAGTCAAAGGAGATGAACAGTTTTGTAGCGCTTATATATTTTGTCTTCCAAAAGGTTGAGACCGATTTATACTGCCACCAGCAATTTATAAGTGTTACGTTATGCCCATCGAGAGTAGCTTGTACCATTTAACTTAGTTTGCCTAGTTTAACTGGTAGGAAGTACCATCGAGGTACACATGCCTTGAATCCAAAAATGAGAGAGGACAAATCTGGATGTGGGGTAGGGAGGGGCTTAGAGGTCATCAAGTCCAAGCTCCCCCCGCCCCAGAAAAATACACAGAGCTATTCCACGGTGGCGTCCTTATAATACGATCCCAACTTTCCTGAAGAGAACGTTGCCCTCATGATTTTTGGCCTACTTGAATTTATAAATTTTTAGGGATGTAAATAGAACACTCAAATGTCTTAAAATATTTAATTTATTAATTTAGTTATACATACATACTGTAAATCACATATTATATAAAATAATATATTAATTTAGAAAATGCCCCATTTTTGCCATCCTCCCTTTCACGAAATCATTTTACTCTGACTCCTCACGGTCTTCACCGACATGGGAGCCCTGTTTGAGTCATCAGACAGTTTCAAGATACACCCAGTCACTTCCATCCGAACTCTGCACGGTAGCTCAGTGACAATCCCTTCATGAGGCTCTCATTAGAAATTTTCTCCCAAGCCACAAGACCATATTTGCAGAACATAAGGACTATTTCTCTTGTCATTTTTTAATCTGTCCTGTGACTCTACAATATAACCACTTAAGGTGGTACTTTTTCAAACAACCTTTAAACGTCTTTTCTTTTAAAGCACCCAAAATGTTGTTGTGAGGCCAAACGCCTAGTAACAGTTACTGAATCTGGGTTAAATGTCTGTATCTTTTTTTCTTAAACCATTTCAATTTCGTGTCCCCTATACATGTCCAAAACTAGCATCGATTGGGGTTGTTTTGAACTAATGGGTCTTGTCCTCAAGCAGCACTATTTTGTTCAAAACAAAATAGTTGAGAGCATGCCCCTAAGAAGAGATACATCTCAAGGACTCCAGTGCAGGGTGACGCCTCCTTTTGGAAACAAGAGCCTCTCCTGGTATCAGGCCTAGATGGTACTTCTCCAACCTTCCGTTTCTAGCTCTGTAAAATGGGGGTGATCACAGCACCTACCTCCGAAGGTTATCACGAGGACTGCCATCGTGCCTGCAGAGTGCCAGGACCACCAGCCTGGCACGGAGGTACACACTCAGTGAAGGCCATCTGCTGTCATTGTCATTGTCATAGTTATTGCCATTATTCTGTGGCTTGTCAGTACCAGAACTGGGGATAGACCCCAGGCCTCCTGACCACCAGTCTCATCTTCTTTCTCTTATGCAATGACTTAAATGCTGTTTCTGTTGCATGCAAATTGTTTGTTCATCTCCTTTGACTAGTTATCAAGTTACCTTCCGATATATTGACTTTACGTGGCAGTTCTTTCTATATTGATGGTGATGTTCTCTTTTCCAGTTTTATTGCTTTGCTCTTTGTGGCAGTTTTATTACATTTTTGTTGTGAAAGCTTTTAATTTTTACATATCCAAGCATTCATTTTTTGTCCACTCTGTCATAACTTTCATTGCTTCTGTAGCTAGATATGATGACATTTTCTCCAGAATTTTAATTACAAACAAAAAGCTGCAACCCTTGCTTCTGTAGCTAGATATGATGACATTTTCTCCAGAATTTTAATTACAAACAAAAAGCTGCAACCCCTGCCCATCGGAAGGTGAGTACACCAGGTGGGCAGGCTGGATGGAAATGGGCCAGAGAAGCAGGCTCTTTCCTCATCCGAGATGCAGACTCCGTGTCTATCTGTGGGCACCACTTGACTATCCAACCTGGCCACTGCAGCACACTGGAGATGCTCCCATCATAGGTTAGCCAGAACTCTGTGACTGTTCATCAATATAGACCCCGCCAGCAGCAGCAGGGCTTGGCCTCACCTAGATCAATGGGGTGGTCCAAACTTGATCTGGGAGCAAGCAGCCCAGCCATCCTTTGAGCTCCTGGGAGCTTTGGCAGTGCTCGGAGTGGATTCAGTGACTGAACAGCAGATTCACCCACGAGACATCTCCTTGGACACAAGAAGACTCGCCTGGACCACATCCTCCTTTCAGCCAGTGACTCTAGAACTAGAAAGAGATTGGTTCATAGGCTTCTGCTTTGGGCAGCTAGGGGAAAATTCACCCATGTGTTCTGGCATCACTTCCTGCAGCCACACCTAAGCGAGGGCAACAGAGCAGAGGCTTGGAGAGGAACCCTGCCCCTCCGATGGCTTGCGTGTTATGTGGATGGAAGCTGGCAGCACTGCCCTGGGCTATGACTTGCAACAGTCATGACCAGGAGGAGCACTAAAGCAAAGGTTTGGAGGGCAGTGGAACCCTTCTGACAGTCTGTGTGGCATACAAGTAGAAGCTGGTCCTCCTGGGTCCGAGCTGCCATTTCTAGCGGGCTCCCCCAAGAGGAACAGCAGCAAGGTCTGGCGAGGAACCTGCCCTTCCAGTGGTCCACAGAAGCCACAGATAGAAGCCAGCCCCACCAGGGCTGTGGTGTGACTTCCCAGCAGCTGTGGCTGGGGACAGGGACACTAGGAGGGCCTGGCAAGAAAGTGTGCCCTTGTGGGCCCACCAAGGCTGAGGCAGAGCTTCCTAGCAGACACAACTTGGAAGGGCTTCTCAGGCTCCCATCCTGGGAAGCAAGGTCCTACAATGACCTCTGTGACCTTGGCCAGAAGGTCCTCTCAAATGGACCCAGGCCACCACAGTGGCATTATACGACATCTCCACCCTGACCCCTAGGCTGGAGAGGAGCCAAAAACACTTGTTACATAGTGATTCCTTTTGCCCTGTGGGCCTCAGTTCTTGGAGTAGTTGTGAATCTGTGTCTGAAATCACTACTTTCTTCTCGGATCCGTTTTCTCTTTTCGAGTTGTTAGGATGTGTTTTGTACAGCTGTCATTTGATAAAGAAGGTTGACCTCGACCAGGGCAAGTCTGGCACCTTTACCTAGAAGTACTCTGCCATGTCTTGCCCGTTCGTTCATCGTTTGTTGCGTTTCATAAGGGATCCCATTGAAGTAGATCCCTTTTATGAAGGGATCCCATTGAATGCAGCATTAACTCAGAACGTAGCATAAAGTTGTCACTGCTCCCAACTGGGACGTGGCATCTTGGCATCCCTTCCTGTCCTCCTTGACTCTTTCCCATCTTCGGTTCAATAATTTTCTCTCAAACAAATGCTCTTTTAGAGTTAACACTAAAGATCTGGTCTTTGCTGTCAAGGTTGACGGAACAGCTGTTCGTAGTGTTTGCGGTAAAACCCGTGTTCTCTTTCAACGCAGTCTGTGGCTTTAACGTGTGTCATTTAATTTCGCCGAGTTCATTTCTCGCCTCTGGTAACTTGGGGTGGATTTCCTTGGGCTCTCTAGGTGTACTACTATGTCAGATGCAAAATATCACCCAGCTTCCTGTCACATATCCTTGTCTGTGCATTCATGCATCTACCTCGTTCCAGTTTTCTTTCTACTCTCATGTATTCCTATTGCGAGGGAATGTGTTCTTTTCCTGATCCTTTTGTAGTTCATACACGTGACAATTGGGTTTTCATGCACATGTGTGAGATGTGCCTCCTTCAAACCTTGTTACTATGTTGGCACATTACCCGCCTGGCATGGAAAAAGAAAAAAAAAAAAAAGAAATATGTTCTTTTCCTACCATTTGAAAAAAGAAATCCTCCATTACTTTTATTAGAGTTTTGAATACTTGTGAAAATTTTCAAAAGAAACTAATTGTTTACCATTTCTGCTGCTTATTACAATGAGCTGTGTCCGTTAGCTGTGTCACCCCACTCTTGCATTTCCAGAATAGTCCCCACCCGATTGCAGCAGGCATCTTTCTCCAGTGGTGTTGCATTCCATGTGCTTGATTTTGTGCTAGAACTGGCACAGCGCCTGCCCTACCTGCAGCCCTGGGTTGTGGCCCTGTTGCATACCATGTGATTTGCCACCCCCCTTCTAGGCCACATTAATTCAGCCAGACCTGAACACCTGACCCAAGGGCAGCAGGCAATCTTCAGAGCATAGAGCTGGCAGAACACGACGGACCATGGACACCACCAGGCCTTCCAGATCGGCAATGCAAACAAGGAAACAGAACCTTCTAGGCATCAGAAGGTGTGGGGGGCAGCACAGTACTCAGAGGAGTGAGGAGTGTGGCACCTGCTGGGAGGAAGGCCTGGCCATGGTATGTTCTTGGATTTCTGGCAGCAGCCCTCATTGGTCCACGTGTGTCCCCACTACAGACTCCTTGACTTGAGTCAGCTTGAGTGGGTCTCTACTGTTTTCTATTGCATTTTGCCACTTGACTGCTTTCCGGCCAAGTCGCACCTGACTGCGTGAACACCTGTTTAAATGTGTGTTCTCTGTTCTCTAAGATGGGTGAAAGTTGATGCCTTCTAGTCTCAGTGAATTTAACCTGTGATTTTATGTCTAGGTATTGTTCCTTTACTGAACCCACCACGTGCAGGCCATAAAATGAGTGAAGTCACAGCTCACCCTGTTCTCTTATTTTTGAAGTGTTTCACGATTTCCAGCATGTCCATCAGAGGGGGGGATTGCTAACTTCTCTTACTAATGTGCTTGCATTCTGTGGTTCTCATTGCATCACTTGGGTGTTTACTTTGCAAAGAAGAAACTGTCTCTTTAAACTTGGCCCTCAGTGTCATTTGCGTATCTCTGTATTTTTCTGTTGGGTTGGCACTCTTTTCTCATTCCCCCCATCTCATTACCTTGTCTGTTTTCTGGCACTCACTATAATCAGCCTTGCACTAGAGCTGTTTGTGGACTTGGCTTCACCCCCTCCTCCTCAGCCCTCCCCCACCCGTTTAATTGTGAGCTCTTAGAAGACAGGGGTGGCCTTTCGTGTCTGATCCCCTACCAAATCTAGCACAGTGCCTTGCATCAAGTAGATTTCAATAAATATATGTTAAATGGCATTGGTCTTCCTTGACGTCTTTTGTCACAGCTTCGTTTGCCACTTCCCTTGCTCCTTTCTCCATGCCATAGGGTTCTATACTTGTCCTTGCACTTGGAAACTGCCCCCTCCTAGGGTCCAGGTGCTGTTGTGGCCCCCGCTGGGAATGGTTATTCCAGTGCTTGCTGGGCACTTGGAGGGAAGAGGAAGCACCCTGATGGGGAAGCTGGTTTGCCTGGAGCTCTGAGCTCTCCCTCGGCAGAAAGGGGTCTTTCATTCAGCCTCCCCTCACTGCAGCGAGGGCTCCCCAAGTTGTAATTCCAGGTGGGAGCAGAAGACAAGGCCAGATCCTCAGCTCCTCCCTCAGGGACTAGGAATGGGATTAACATGGCTTTGGGACTTGAGAATCATCCCACCTCTCTAGGCTGCATAGGGGTGGGAGCAGGAGTTCATTCCTCTTGGTGGCCTGTGGCTGGCCCTCTGCCTGGTGACCACTGCCTCAGAGAAGTCGGGGGCAGGAGCAGGCCCCAGTTTCCTGACCCTTCTAAATGCCAATGGCTCAGCTGTGGAGCCAGCAGCCCAATTGCAGAAGGACATCCCATCCCTTGGGCTCCGGGGTGCACATCCCGATGGGAGCCAACAGGAGGAGACAACATGACTCTCTCCACTGCCCCAGTCTCCCTGGCTTCTGGCAGGGGCCCATGCTCATCACCACTGTCAATTCTTCTACCCCAGGTGCAGCTCTGGGTGGGTGGAGCGATACTGCCCCCCCTTGAGGGTTGCTTCCTACTTGGCAAGGCAGCCACCTCCCAGTGCGTCTACCCCTAGCCAGTGCCTGCCCTGGTGTGGCCCAGCCCTCGCCACTTGCAAGTCACTTAGTTGCTGGAAAAGCATCATTATGGCACTTGTTACTGAGAATTCCACCTGTTTGTTTTTTCTTAAAACGTGTGCAAGCTGTTCTGGCAAGCCTCAGATGTGCATGGGTCCATTTGCACAGCTGACACTGCACCCAAGGCAGGAGGGGACAGCATGGGGTTTCCTCTGGGGGTCCTATGGGCCCCTAGTAGGCCAATCGCACCTGACTGCGTGAACACCTGTTTAAATGTGTGTTCTGTGTTCTCTAAGATGGGTGGATTGAGAATATTATCTCAATCCTAGTAGAGGATTGAGAATGTTATCTCAATCCTAGTAGAGGATTGAGAATATTGTCTCCTGCCCCTCTCCTAGTGCCCCTGCCTGCCTGAGCACTGTAGCTCTTCCAACACCACCCTCTGTAGAACAAACAAGAAGGCATCTGAGGAAATGGGATGTGCCTTTTGGCTCTCCTCCCTGGTGGAACATTAAAAAATCCAAGATTATTGGAAAGATCACGTGCTACACCCTAGAAGTCTCTTGCTGGCCTGAGAGTTCACAGTCCCCAGCCCCTAATCTCTGGGCCAGTGTCTGCAGCCCCGATTCCTCTAGCCCAGATTCCCCATCACAGCCCTCAGCCCCAGCCTACCTCTCATTGCAGAAAGGACAGGCCAGCAGGTAGAAATGGGGGCTTCTGCTTTCATGCCCACTGCATTTTAGCTTCCCCTCCCCAACACTCTCCCAGCCTATTTTCCTGAAGCTTCCAGAGCTGTGTCTTTGTCCACCCTCATTAGTCTCCAGTAGACGTGATGCACCTTCTGGGCTAAAATGCATTTCATTCAAAAGCTCACTGCACAATAAAAAAACATGGCCTCAAATTTTTTTCGGGCAAGATGTGTCAGAAAAACTCTATGCTCTGTCATCCCTTTTCTGACCTTTATTCAACAAGTATTTATTGAGCACCTGCTCTGTGCTGGGCCCCAGAGATGTAAAAGCAAGTGACAAGGTCCCTGCCCTCAAGGACAGAGTGCCAGAGAGAAAACAGACATGCAGCCAAAATGTCACCACAAGTGGGGCCTATGTAAATGTTCACCAAGCTGTGCTCCTAGGTAGGATTTGTGCACTTGAGTGGAGGTGGGTTACACAACAACTACCAAGCCAAATGCATATACAACATTAGTGGATAAATCCCCCCACTCCCTCCTCAGATGCTATGGGATTTTATTAATACATTACTCTCTGGCACCTCTCCATCCCTGCCCCAGCCCTGCTCCATCAGCCTCACTGGCATCCCTGCCTCTTTGCCTTGCCTTGCCTTTCTGGGCCCAGTCCATGTTCCACTCTGCACCTGTCGACCTCTGGGGAAGAAAGGCAGCTCCAGTGGGGTGGTCCTCACCCAAGCCCAGCAGGCCCCACCGTGCTACAGAGAGTTCTTTACTGAAAGGTCAGCCTGTCACCTCAGCACTTTCAAAGGCGGGTGGGGCCGGCACCTCAGGGTGCTGTGAGCTGGCTGGTCTACGTCACTCCCGGGATACTGTACTGCTAGTTCTCTGTCCATCCCAGTCCTCTGCCACATCTTCTCCAACAAGCCAGCTTCTCCCACAAGTTTAAGTCTGTTCATCCCTTTCTTCCCTATTGCAAATTCTGCAGTCCTGAGGTGTTTCCTCTGGGCCTCTACAGTCCAAGGACTTCTGGCACCACCACCCCTTATTGAGCTGTTTGTCATTGGTGTCTACAGGTGTCTCCCTTCCCCACAGAAGTCTCCTTCACCTTTGAACACCCTCCTGCTGGATGCCACAGAGGCCCAGACAGAGAGGGTACTAACTACACCCTGCCCCCAACCGGGAAGAGGCCCCTCCCTCCTCCCTGGGCTCCCTGTGCTGCCAGACCCTGACCCCATAGCCTGGGAGGGGTTGCACCCCCAGACTGGGAGCCCCCTAGTGGGGCACATCTTCCTGACCTCACTGGACACCGGGGCCCTGGATGAAGATGTCTTTGGAATTCATGAGAGAAATTGGTTCTCCCACCCAGGGCCATGTCCTTGGGGATGGGACAGGTGGGACAGAATGTAGCCTCAGCCTGGGCCTCACCTCATCTCCTGCACCCCCAGATGGAAGTGGTGGAGATGATGGATCAGATTGTCCACTGGGTGTGGAAGGACTCATCAGGACTGGGCTGGCCCCAGCTCCATGGGTCCCCAGCCACAGAGCCCATGGCATTACCCATGATGCTGCTGAACCTGGCAGAGCAGCTCAGGGAGGCAGACAAGGAACTGGCGGGCAAATATGCAGAGCTGGGGAACTGGTGCACTTGGAGGATTCTGCAGCACATGCAGGTGGGGGGGCCTGGGGACCTGGGCAACAGGGGGCCCTCTACTCTCCAACTCCCCAGGGTGTCCTCAGGCTTTACACACCTGGAGAGAGAGACATGGGGAGGTCCCCACCTGAGGAAGGTGGAGGGCTGGAGGGCTGGAGGGAGGGTGCAGAGCCTTAGGCAAGGCCTGACAGCAGGAGACCCTCCAGATCCAAGTCCCTCCCAGGCCTCTGGGTGGCCACTGCACAAAGGTGCTGACCTCCTGGTTGGAGGTGGCAGGTGGGTGGCAGGTGCCTGGAGAATGGGGATGGATGAAGCCTCCACCATGGCTCAGAAGGTCCCCAAGGCCAGGAGCTGCCAAATGGGAGGGGCCAAATGGTGGAGGATGGGTGCGTTGCCCCTGAACCTCAAGAAGCCTCAGGGCACCAAGCCCACTTTGGAAGGGCAACAAATGCCAATGACCAAAGCCAAAGCCCAAATTTCACCATTGGGGAATGAACTTCCAAGATTCAATAGTAATTCTGAAATTTATCTCTGGTATGGTTTGGCTGTGTCCCCACCCAAATCTCATCTTGAATTCCCACATATTGTGGGAGGGACCCAGTGAGAGGTAATTATCCAATTACCATGGGAGCAGGTCTTTCCCATGCTGTTCTCAGGATAGTGAATAAGTCTCACAAGATCTGATGGTTTTTAAAAGGCACATTTCCCTGCACAAGCTCTTTTCTCTTGTTTGCTGCCATGTGAGATGTGCCTTTCACCTTCTGCCATGATTGTGAGGCCTCCCCAGCCACGTGGAACTGTAAGTCCATTAAACCTCCTTCTTTTGTAAATCACCCAGTCTTGGGAATGTCTTTATCAGCAGCATGAAAACAGACTAAAACAGTAAATTGGCACCAGTAGAGTGGGGTACTGCTGAAAAGATACCCGAAAATGTGTGTGGAGGAAAAGTTAAATGTTAAATTTGAACTCAATTGAACATGGACACAAACAATGGTCACCAAGTCCTGGAACAGGTTGTGTGAGCCCCTTGAGACGTTCATCCACTGCTGTTTCAGAGAAATCTCCATTTCAATCTATTCCTATACATTGAAAAACGATAGACAATTGCAAAAACAAGTTGACCTTTTTATATTCCTTGAGCCCAGTCGTGAAGGGCCCTCGTGACTGGGCCTCATGCCAAACAACTCGTTACAAAAAGAGCTAGGGTCCCAGACTGCACCAAACCTTCATGAGACCTCTCCTATTCTGTGCCGCAGATGAGTGGCCAACTCTGGAGCCCAGGCTGTTGCTTCCCAGTCTGATGGTGAATCCTCCATGGTCTGGTGAGTGAAGTGTCTGACTCTGGAGCCCAGGCTGTTGCTTCTGACTCTGGAGCCCAGACTGTTGCTTCCCAGTCTGGTGGTGAATCCTCCATAATCTGGTGAGTGTAAATATATATATATATTCCCTTCTCCCCTTCCCATTGCAATTTGCTTATTGTATCAATCTGTTTATTATATCATTTGCTTATTATTATATCATTTGCTTATTATATCTGCCTTGCCATTTACATGGGATAAAATTTGTTTACCCTTAAAAGTATTGTGTGTGTGTCTTTTTTCTCCCCTCATGCATTTCCTGCACAGAACAATATAGAAGTGACTGGAAGTGGGTAACAGGCAGAGGTTGGATTCCAAATTTTGAAGGACTCAGAAGAAGACAGGAAAATGTGGGAAAGTTTGAAACTCCCTAGAGACTTGTTGAATTTCTTTGATCAAAATGCTGCTAATTATATGGACAATGAAATCCAAACTGAGGTGGTCTCAGATGGAGATGAGGAGCTTGTTGGAAACTGGAGCAAAGGTGACTCTTGTTATGTTTTAGCAAAGAGACTGGCAGCATTTTCCCATGCCCTAGAGATTTGTGGAACTTTGAATTTGAGAGAGATTATTTAGGGTATCTGGTGGAAGAAATTTCTAAGCAGCAAAGCATTCAAGATATGACTTGGGTGCTTTTAAAGGCATTCAGTTTTAAAAGGGAAACAGAGCATAAAAGTTAGAAAAATTTGCAGCCTATCAATGTGATAGAAAAGAAAATTCCCTTTTCTGAGGAGAAATTCAAGCCGGCTGCAGAAATTTGCATAAGTAAGAGTAAGTCAAATGTTAATCACCAAGACAATGGGGAAAATTCTTCTAGGGTGTTTCAGAGACCTTTGTGGCAGCCCTTCCCATCACAGGCCTGGAGGGCTAGGAGGAAAAAATAGTTTTGTGGGCCAGGCCCTGGGTCCCTCTGCTGTGTGCATCCTGGGGACTTGGTGCCCTGTGCCCCAACCACTCCAGCTGTGACTAAAAGGGGCCAAAGTACAGCTCGGGCTATTGCTTCAGAGGGTGGAAGCCCCAAGCCCTGAGAGCTTCCACGTGGTGTTGAGCCTGCAAGTGCACAGAAGTCAAGAATTGAGGTTTGGGGCCAGGCATGGTGGCTCACACCTGTAATCCCAACACTTTGGAAGGCTAAGGTGGGCAGATCACTTGAGGTCAGGAGTTCAAGACCAACCTGGCCAACATGGAGAAACCCTGTTTCTACTAAAACTATAAAAATTAGCTGGACGTGGTGGTGCCCGCTTGTAATCCCAGCTACTCAGGAGGCTGAGGTTGGAGAATCACTTGAACCCAGAAGGTGGAGGTTGCAATGAGCCAAGATAATGTCACTGCACTCCAGGCTGGGTGACAGAGCAAGACACTATCTAAAAAAAAAAAAAAAAGTTGAGGTTTGGGAACCTCCACCTAGATTTCAGAGGATGTATGGAAATGCCTGGATACCCAGACGGAAGTTTGCTGCATGGGTGGGGCCCTCATGGAGAACTCTGCTAGGCAGTATGGAAGGGAAATGTGGGGTCAGAGCCCCCATACAGAGTCTACTGGGGCACCACCTAGTGGAGCTGTGAGAAGAGGGCCACCATCCTCCAGACCCCAGAATGGTAGATCCACTGATGGCTTGCACTGTGCACCTGGAAAAGCTGCAGACACTCAACACCAGCCTGTGAAAGCAGCCAGGAGAGAAACTGTATCCTGCAAAGCCACAGGAGTGGAGCTGCCCAAGTCCGTGGGAGCCCACCTCTTGCATCAGCATGACCTGGACATGAGACATGGAGTCAAAGGAGATCATTTTGGAGTTTTAAGATTTGACTGCCCTGCTGGATTTCAGGCTTGCATGGGGCCTGTAGCCCCTTTGTTTGGGCCAATTTCTTTCATTTGGAACAGCTGTATTTACTTAATGTCTGTACCCCTATTGTATCTAGCAAGTAACTAATTTGCTTTTGATTTTACAGGCTTATAAGTGGAAGGCAATTGCCTTGTCTCAAATGAGACTTTGGCCTGTGGACTTTTGAGTTAATGCTGAAATGAGTTAAGACTTTGGGGGACTGTTGGGAAGGCATGATTTTTTTTGAAATGTGAGGGCATGAGATTTGGAAGGTGACAGGGCAGAATGCTATGGTTTGGCTGTGTCCCCACCCAAATCTCATCTTGAATTCCCACATGTTGTGGCAGGGCCTCAGCAGGAGGTAATTATTCAATTACCATAGGGGCAGGTCTTTCCTGTGCTGTTCTCATGATAGTGAATAAGTCTCACAAGATCTGATAGTTTTTAAAGGGACGTTTCCCTGCACAAGCTCTCTTCTCTTGTCTGCTGCCATGTGAGACATGCCTTTCACCTTGCACCATGGTTGTGAGGCCTCCCTAGCCAGGTGGAACTATAAGTCCATTAAACCTCCTCCCTTTGTAAATTGCCCTTGGGTATGTCTTTATCAGCAGCGTGAAAACAGAGTATTAAAATCTCCAAACCTAACTGTTACTATAATGCAATGATCCATCTTCATCCTCACTTTCAGAGCTGGCCCTCTGGTGCCCAAAGCAGACTCCTGGGGTCCCTGTATTGGGCTCTTAGCCACTTCCTGCTGGCCACAGGATGACACCTGATGCTCCTGGAGCAGCCAACTGGATTCCAGAAGAAAGGCTTCAGTGACATGTTTTCCAGAAGGAACCTGGCTCCTAGGATTAACAGTTGGGTCAAATCTCAAAAATTCTTTGCCCTTAACTACAGAAAACTGCCAGCATCTATAGTGGTCATAGTCACAAGATTTCCTTTAACTTTTCAGCAAGTGTTTTCCTAAAGCATTCTGTAAAGTCTGGCTTGAAGTTTGTGTAGTTGAGATAAAAATGTGTTTGACTGCACTCCAGCCTGAGAGACAGAGTGACATACTGTCTCAAAAATAAATAAGTAAATAAATAAATAAATAAGTTTTTTAAAACGTGTTTGAGAACCACATTTTTCTCCAGTGCTTTATTTTTTTTCTTTATATTTTTATATTCTTTATTTTGGGGGGATTAGAGACAATTTATCAAAGACACAATTGTACACAGCTTTGGAGTTTTTCCTCCTGGAGGTTCTCCTTTTTTTTCTTGCAAGATGAGAATTCCCCATGGTGCTCTTTCTGAAGACACTTATGACTTAAATGGAGTCAAACAAGTAAAAACTAAATTCCATTCTTAAAGTTCCTTTATTCAATGCTACAAACGCTGGTGTGCCAAATCATCAAGTGAGATTTTTTATTCTGTTCTGTGTTGTTATTAAAAATGTATGAACAGGTCAGGCACAGGGGCTCGCTCCTATAACACTAACACTTTGGGAGGCTGAGGTGGGCAGATCAGTTGAGCGCAGAAGTTTGAGACCAGCCTGGGCAACATGACAAAACCCCATCTCTACCAAAAATACAAAAAAAAAAATAGCTGGGTGTGATGGCACGCACCCATAGTCCCAGCTACTCAGGAGGCTGAGGTGGGAGGATCTCTTGAGCCTGAGAGGTAGAGGTTGCAGTGAGCTGTGATTGCACCACTGCACTCCATCCCGAGTGATAGAATGAGACTGTGTCTCGAAAAAAAAAATCAATATTGTCTATTTTATATTCATTTTTAATTACACAAACAAAACGTGAACATAATCTCATTTTAAAATATTAAACAAATATGAATAAAATAAAAACCCCGTTTAGTCACTATCTGGCCCCTCCCAGTCACACTCCCCTTTCTGAAAAGATCTGTCCTGATGTTTTTCTGCCTATTTACCTGCATATATGTACACACACAATAGACAGTTTATCATGCCATCTGCTTGTCATGCAACTTACTTTCTTCACATAACTAAGCATGGGAGAATGTTGGGAGAGTGTTGTTAACTACAGCTCAGTATTTCATAGCATGAGCATAGTGAGGTTTATTTGACCCTTCCCCTTCTTGGTAAACATTCAGGTATTTTCCAGGGTTTTGCTAATAGAAACAATGCTGAAAGAGCCTTGCTCAGAGCTCTTGTGCACAGGTGTGAGCTGTACAACAGATGCTGAGTTAGGTAGAGTGACACTAGATTGCTTCAACAAAGAGACCTGCAATAAAGCAGTAGCTTAGAGAAAATTGAGGATCATTTCTCATGGAAGTCTGAGCCATGTAGTCCTGGTTGATGGGGCAGCTCTGCTCCACACAGTCACTCAGAAACCCCAGCTCCTCACGTTGCCTTTTTCCTCTCTTCTCTAGGACAGCACTTCTCAAACTCTATGGTGAAAGGCCAGTTTATGTCATTCAATTGTAGAGTGAAATTTTTTTAACTTACAATAAAGATGCCATGGTGATATTCTGTTACTATAAAAGCCTTAATATCTGTACTAACCCAATGTAAACTAAAAATAAAGTCCTAAGCCCCCAGCTGACTGAACAAACCCCCTCTTGGCCAGGGAGACATTAGAAAACCTTAAAACTGAGTTCACAGCCATGATGAGACAGGAGGTCAGACATGCCTCATTGTACTCCCTCCCTTTTGGAGATTAAGCACAACAACTAACCTGCATTGGTGTTAAAATAGAGATCATAAGACTGACAGAACAGACTCTTGATGACAATTAGATGTGAAATTATAAACACAACCTAAGGCCATGCCATGCAAGGGTTAAGTCCCACACCCCTACACTTACAGAATGAACTGTGCTCTCACTGCCACAAGCTTTTTCTTTTTCTCTAGCAGCTAAACAAGCACTGGCCTTGAAATAAGCAAGATTATAAATAATTGCCGCTCAGCCAGCTTCAGACATGGACTAACTGAACCCCTGTTCCACCAGACGTAACTACAGCTTTGATGGGACAAGAGATTGATTTCAGTAAGTTTCTCCTGATAAGACCAGCAGCCACATGCTGATTCTTGCCAGTTTACAGAGATTTCATGCTTGAGTGACTTCATGTCCTGAAAAGACCTTTGGATGTATAAGACCTAACTGTAATACATTTAAATGTTAAGTCTCCACCCCAAAGTGAACATGGGTCATATGTTACATGCATGTTTGTTCAGTATACGTGTGTCGGGACCCCCTTTATGAATATTCATAGCTATTCCTGTAACCTGTTGAATATGTATGTTTAGCTAACCTGTCCAGCACTAAGATCCTAGCCCAACCCCTCCTCCTTCGAAGTGCCTGTCTCTTGTCTTGACCAGAGGCACACTTCCCAGCCTGTGGGATGACCACCTTGCAAGCTGTAACCCTTAAAAAGAAGTAAAGTCTCCTTTCTCCTTTCCAAATTTATAGATTTGTTTAAAAATTAACGCTGGTCATGGACCCACCACTAACAAACAATTTGTGGGTGCACAGTGGTTCAGGGACCCTGCTATAGCAGCTCCACTTGAGGAGGAGCTCAAGTGGGGAGTGGGCACCACACTCACCCCAAGGGATGCTGGGATAATCTTGTCTAGCTGAGCAGCCTAGCACCCAGGAATAATAGCCCTTGGGCCAGGGAGACAATGAGCAGTCAGAGATCTCCAGAAGTGGCATTTACTGGGTTCAAAGGGTACAGGCATTTTAAAAGTAGATTCTGGCAACTTTCCCTCCAAAAAAGCCTGTACCAAGTGGCAAGAGTTCCCATGTCCCCCCACCCTAGCCAAAACAAATGGGCAAAAATGGCAGATACTTCCTTATCATTTGCACTTCCCTGATTACTAGTGCTGTCAGGTTGAACATCTTTTTACTATTACAGACCATTCAATGGCCTCTTCTGTAAACTGCTCTTTCATACTCTTTGCTGATTTCCCTATGGACATGCAGTTCTTTTTATATGCTTGATAGTAACCCTTTGTCTGTTATGTATGTTGTAGATGCTTCTTCCACTGTGTTTTGTGCTTTTTTGTTTGTTTTTGTTTTGTTTTGTTTTGTTTTTGAGATGGAGTCTCACTCTGTCGCCCAGGCTTGAGTACAGTGGTGCGATCTTGGCTCACTGCAAGCTCCGCCTCCTGAGTTCACACCATTCTCCTGCCTCAGCCTCCCGAGTAGCTAGGACTACAGGTGCCCGCCACCACACCCGGCTAATTTTTTTTATTTTTAGTAGAGACGGGATTTCACCGTGTTAGCCAGGATGGTCTCGATCTCCTGACCTCGTGATCCACCCACCTCGGCCTCCCAAAGTGTTGGGATTACAGGCGTGAGCCACCATGCTCGGCCCCACAGTCGTATTTTTAACTTAGTTAATGGCACGTTTATTGTCCTACAGAAGTTATATTTTTCACAGTTATGTCCTCAAATGTATCAGGCTTTTCTTTCATGGTGTGTGCATTTTGTGCCTTACTTAATAACATCTTCTTTATCCTCTAGTCTTGTTTTTATAAATTTGCTTGTATACTTTTCTTTTTACAGTTTTGTTTTTTATGTTTAAACTTTTTACTATTCACTCAGGAATATGTCTTTTCTATGATATATAGTTAGGATCTATTATTTTGTTTTCCTTACATGAATAGCCAATTGTCCCAACACCATCCTTCCCCTGATTATTTGAAATGCCAAGTTCATCACATAGAAAGTAAGCTCCATGCTTCCATGAGGGCAGAGGCTTTGTTTTCCTCACCCCTAAAATAATGTCTGGCACATGATGATTTGTCAACTGAATGGATGGATGAATGAATTCTAAGTAGCCAAATTTTCATGGGTGTGTTTCTGGAATTTCTGTTGTGCTATCAATTAATATGTTGATTCTTGCTTCAATACTCTACTGTTTTAACTATTGCTTTATAAGTTTTGATATCTAGTAGTTTCTTTCTTTTAAGATTTTTTGCCAATCTTGTACATTTCTCTTCCAAATTGATTTAAGATTTGCCTCCCAGGTTCTATTGAAATCCTTTGGGGATTATTATTGGGATTGCATTAAAGTTATAGATTACTTTCAGAAGAACACACGTCTTTCAAAGTTGAGTCTTTCTATCCAAGAACATGATATATCTTATCATTTATTCAGACTACTTTTATGTCCTGTAGTGAGTTTTTATATTTTTCTTTATATCAGTCTTATGCATTTTTATGCCTTTTAAGTTCAAATGATTTTATAGTTTGTGTTGCTCTGAGGATTACGAGGTTTTCAAAAATAGTATATTGGTTAATTGGTCATTGCTGGAAAGGTAGAGCTTGTGAAAACATCTCATATGAACATTAAAGATTTGTCAGGTCCTTCTTTTAGATTCTTTAGAAAATGAGCACAACATATCTGAATAATTATAGTCTTTTCTCGTCCAACATTTATACTCTGTATTTATTTCTTGTCTTGCATTGATCAGGCTGAGTCCATTACAGAAAGTTGGCAAGGATGCTGAGAATAGATGCTGAATTTTATCAAATGTTTTTCCTACATCAGTTGAGATAATATATTATGTTTCCCCTTTAACCAGTAATGAAGTGAATTACATTAATAACTGTTAATATTGATTTATCTTTGCATTCTTGGAGGGAACCTGTACTTTGACATGATAAAGGATCCTTGTAATGCCCTCATGGATATGAGGTGTCTTTGTGTTTTTGTTCAGGAGGAAAATTGATCTACACAGTGCTTTTACTGTGCAATCTTATTCCAATTTTGGTATCAGAGTTATAGTAGCCTCGTAAAATGGGTTTGGATGCTTTCCATCTTTTCCAATGCAGAGAAGGGTTTGTACAATATGAGAATTACCTATTTCAATTCAGATTTAGCAGAATTTAACCATATAACCACCTGGGCCTGATGCAATATTGAAGCATAAATCTTTGACTATCTTTACATTTCTTCTATGGATATTGGTTTATTCTGATTTTCTACTTCTTGACCAATTATTATAATTTGTATTTTTCTAGAAAATTTTCTATTTTATCTGTATTTTCTAATTTATTCACATAAAACTATATATAGTATTCTTTTTGTGTGTGTGAGACAGAGTCTTGCTCTGTCGCCCACGCTGGAGTGCAGTAGCACAATCTCGG